ATATACTTTTGACACATTAAAGATCTTGCGATTATGCTACTCGAATGTGGAAAATGCTTGGGAAATTAAGACTATGATAAGATATAACTAATACAAGAAAATACAACAAAATGACATCATGTCATAGAATCATCTATTGCTCTAAGACACCATGACCAAAAGCAACTGGGGGGAAAGTTGCTTATTTCAACTTACACTTTTAGGTAACAGTCCATTACTAAGGAAACCAGGGTAGGAACCCCAGAAGGGCAGGAACTTGGAGGCAGGAACTGAAGCAGGAGAAAGCGAGGAGTACTGTTTCTTGGCTTGCTCTTCATGTTTGCTCAATCTGATTTCTTACATAGTTAAGGGCGACATAGACATTGGTGGCACCACCCACAATGACCTGGGCTCTCCCACATCCATCAGCAATGAAGAAAGTTCTCACAAGCTTACCCACAGGACAATTTGGTGGAGCCTTTTCTCAATTTTACTCTCTTCCCAAATGACTCTAGCTTGTGTCAAGTCGACACAAAAACTAGTCAGGACAAAATGTAAACACATTAAATCTGAACAGCCATTTTAAAAATAGTAACATATTATAGCCAAAGGTGTATTTAAAAAAATAGGACAAAGTATTTGCTGGAATTCAAGGTTTAGAAATTAGAATGTTAGTGAAAAAAAATCTATCAATTATACTTAAATAGTGACTTACTTCGTTTACATTACAAGATATAAAAGAAAAGTATCCTTATACTGAAAAGTTAAACTTAGTCTTTATTTATTAAAAACTCTAAAGACATTTCTTTTGCCTCATACAAATTATTTATAAAAAGCAAACAACAATAATATTTTGAAATAAGGAAAAATTACATTATTACCATGATTTAGGTTTGAATTCAAGCAGTATACTGAAGACACTAAGATTTTAAAGAAAGTGACATAGTTGAAATTTATTAATCACAATCATTTAATGAAACCTAAGAGAACTAACATAAGTATACCAGCACAGATAATGAAACCCAGGGAATAAATATCTAAAATTTAACTACTAAGGTTTCTACTAGACAGAATTCAACAACCCAAATCAACACCAAGGGTTAATTAAGTGTCTAATTAAAAAAAATCACTTCAAACACATGCTGATCATATGGGCCTAGTTCTAAATCTAACAAGAAATATGTAAGAAATATGCAACAAGTTTACAAAGACAACTGTAAACTATTATCAAGAGACATTTTGAACTATATGTACTGAAATCTATGGTGTTCACAGACTTTTATGCATAGGCTGAATACCACCATAGTCATCTATTAATTTAAAATATCTCAATTTAAATTACAAGAGACATTTCAAAAGAACGAACACACCATGTCAAGCTTCCTATGGAAGAGAATTGTGATAAAATTCTCTTTGAAAGGAAGGTCTCATAATTTTTAAAATTCCATTCAAAGTTTATATTTGTACTGGAGTAGTGCACTGGACCTCCAGAAGACCATGGCTGAACCCCTGGCCTTGCAGAGATGAGAAACTCTGATTTTACACATGAACATCCTCTTATATGTGATCACTCCCTTGGGATTATTGGGTCAGGAGAAAAAGTGAAAAATATCACTTAGTGACTCTGGCAAGTTTGGTCCTTTCTGCTGATGATTCTTGTTGACATCCATTACTGTTTTACTGTTTAAAATGTATGTGGAAGACATCATCTGGAACGGCAGAGTAAGGACCATAGAAAGTCCCATACTCCGTGTAAGAATTAAAAAACAAAACAAAACAAACAAACAAAAAAACTGAAGCATTTCAAAACCCTGGAATTTAATTAGGTGCTTATGTAGCAGCATTTACTCAGAGAGAGAGAGAGAGAGAGGCATCTCAGAAACAACCAGCTGCTTTAGCTAAAACACCCAACAAACTAGTTCTATAAAAGAACTCCACCAGTCTGGCATGGTTCACTTTATGAAAAACAAACAATAAAAACCTTCCATCTTCCTTTATACTTAATATTGGTGAGTACTGAAAGCAATTCAGAAATTCAGGAATTCAGACATGAGTCAAGAATGCTTACTCTTACAAACTATAATATTTTGCTGCCTGTCTTAGCCAAGGCATTTGACAAGGAAAAACAATATGCATTCTTGTCAAAGAAATGTCTTGTGGAAGCATCTTGAAGAATCTGTGAGAAAAGCACTAATGATTGACCTCAAAAATGATTCAGGATCAAGATCATTGTAAAAAATGAATTGTATTTATATACGTTAGCAATGGAACATATGAAACTGAAATTAAAAAGCAGTTTGAGTTACATACAATAGCATCAAAAAGAACAAAATGCTTACGTACAGATTCATCATGCAAGGAAGATTCATACACTACAAACACCACAGAAAGAAAAACAGAAACTAATATTTGTGACTGAAATGTGTGAATAGACTAATAACCAGTAGGAATTTTAATACGGTCAAGATGACAATACAATACAAACGTATTCATTAAGTCAATACAAATTTTATATAAATTTATAAGACTTCTCTGAAAAAAATAGTAATCTGCTTCTAAAAATCACATGGGACTGTAAGGGAATCATTTAAAAAGGAAAATAAAGTTATGTTTAAAACTGGTTTTCTTAATTTCAACATGTAATGAATATTGAGTGTGCTATTCTCATAAGAATCTATATATAGTTCAATGTAATGTATTTGAAGGGTCCTAAATAAACACATAGCTATGGTCAATTGACTTTTAATAAAAGTACCAAGGAAATTGATTAGAGGAGAATAATATTTTCAAGAAGAGCACTTGGATAATTGCATTTTCATATGCATTGGAATGAATTTGTGCCTCTAATTTGTACCATATAGAGATTAGTTCCAAAGGAATCATATTCTGAATGTAAGAGCTGAAAATAGGAAACTCTTAGAATAAAATAAAAAATAAACTCTTCATGATATTTGATTAGAGACTTATTTATAATACATGGCATCAAGCACAAATGAAATACATTTAAAATGTATGAATAAGATTTCATCAAAAAGAAATCTTTATTATTTCAAAGGACATATTATAAAAGTTAAGTCAACACGGAATTTTAGAAAATATTTGTAAGCCAAATATATGAAATGTAAGAATTATATAATATAAATAAGTAAATCATAGAGTAATAATTAAAAGAAAATTAATCTAAATTCAAAGGCGCAATTTTGAATAAATAAACAAACTTTGATTAAATAATCTTCCCCAGAGAAGATATACAGATTGCTACATAGCACAGGAAAAGCTGGTTAATAAAATTAGTCATTAGGGAGATGAAAATCAAAACCAGGAGACTACTTCATAACCAGTAGAATGTCTACAATAAAAAGTAAAATAAAAATGGTAGTGGGTATGTGGAAAAATGGAAACTTTCATATTAAGAAAGCTGATATCACTTAGTCTTAATGCAGTTTCAGAACATGTTGGATGGATGAGCTTGGGCCCCCTTGAAGAAGGACTCTGGTACACTGAAAGAATTTATGCTTTTGATCTTTCAGTCTTTGCTCAAAGGGGCCTACCAATACTTACCTGATTGGCTGCACTTTAGGAAAAGGACAACAAGCAAACTTATATGTATTAATGCGTGACAGTTCTAAGTGCACACTAGTTCTTGGCCAGTCAACTTGTTCTTGTGGTTCTCTCTTCAGAGTAAGTGGAGCTCATGAGATCAGTGGAGTGTTCACATTCACCTCACAGAAGAAGCAATGAGCCACTCTATTTCTCCAGCTGAAGATCACACAATTTAGTAGAAAACTAGTAAACCTAGTCTTATAACTGCTATATGTAATACATACATATTTCTTGTGGAAAGCTAAAAAGAGACCCTAGTAATTTTAAATTTATTAATTTGTGTGTGTGTGTCCATGTGAGTATATGCACATATGCGCATGCCTGTGCATGCACAGAAGCCAGAACAAGGAGGTAAAACGCTCAGAACTGGATTTGAGGTATTTGCCTGAGTCCTGGCTTGCTGGGGATCCTCATGATTTTGTAGCCAGCCCGTGCATCCTCTGACTTATCTCTCTAAACTTACAATGATTTTTAAGTCCATTAATATTTATGATAAATTGGATAATTAAGTTCTTATACCCTATTTTAGTCTAATTATATCTGAAGAGTATAAGGTTAATTTATATATTAAGGATGATATTTATGTACCAGGAATTTCATGAAATCTGAAAATTTAAAAATAAATTGCGCATTAATCTTTCTGGGAAATTTTTTAAAAGCATTTTCTCAAGATTAGAATCCGACAAATACTCTACAAAATGTATAGTACATTACAAATGCAGAAACATTTCTGGCCATTTGTTTAAGATTTTTATATATGTAAAGAAGTCACCTGATAAGTTCATAGTGGAAAGTGTAAATACCTTGAGGACCTCATGTTTCAAGGACAGTGTTGTTGAAGCAAGTGGAAAACTCCTTTCTCAAATAAGAAAGGATTCACTTGCAGTCTATGAAGAAATGCAACTAATATATTCATAATTTCTTATGTTATTTTATTTGAATGCTTATTTTGTGTTTTATAATGATAAATAACCTAACAAAAGATTTACTAGGCCAATTTGTTCACCAAGTTTTTAAATGCAACATAACCCCTTAACATATTAAAATAGAATAAAATGCGTATTTGTTCCCCAAAGGACACAAAGCTAAAGTCAAATGCCAAATGGTAACACAATCATTAAACCAGTGTTCTCATCAAGATAAAGGAAAAACAAACTTGATTTTTATACTGTTTTTGCATTAAAACCCCCAAACTGTACAAGTTGGTCATCATTTTCCCAGTGGTATACTAAGAAAGATGCCTGAGTTTTCCCTTTTTACTTGAGGACAGCTGTAAATGGGACTGAAAGTTCAGAACAATGTCTGGTTCCATGAACCCACCCACATGGTTGTATAAACATTCAGGATCGTACATGTGGTATCACTCAGTTATTAAATGGAGGCCTGAACTTTGCTGTTTCCTTCTTGTCACTGGGCAGGCCTCTCTGCTTCATCACAATGCATCATATCGGATCCGGCAAGCAACAAGCTTCTCTGAGATCAACTGCAGAAGTACAGGAAATGCGGCTGAGGAGACAGCACAGGAGGTCGTTTGTTTGCCTTGCAAGAATGAGGACCTGAATTCAATTCCTAAAATAAAAGAACTAGATGTGGTGGTACACATGTATACTCTCAGACATAAGATACCTTTTCTGCAAAAATTAATAAATAAATGGTGGGTGGTGCCCGAAATTGTCCTCTGGCATTTACATGGATGCACACACACACATGAATTTGCACCTCCCCTGTGAAAATGCACATATACTAACACATGCACACAAAATGTCCAGTAAAGAAAAACTTACGACAAGAAGGCAGGTAGGGTGAGAGTCAGGCAGGGTGTGAGAGCCCTATTCCACAGCACCCTATGGAACACAGGTACAGATCTCACCTCCAGGCACCAGTTTTAGAAGACACTCGCATTGCCATGGTAGAGACAGCTTTGTGTTCAGGAGAAGGCGAAGCACAGACAGAGGAGGCATGCCCCCAAACCATCCCATCCTGAGATAATTTTACACAGCTAATATTTTTATAGCAAAAAATGGATTTTATTATTATCTATGAACTCATACTCCTTACAACCTATAAAACCTTGTGAAACTATCAAAGCTTGTTTCTAAACTTGCAACACTCCACAACCCTGAAAAGACACGGCAATAGTACGCGTCATTCCTGGTATTTATTCTCCATCCTACACTCTGGGAAACAAACCTCTGCTACTATGAGCTTACTCTATGACATGCATTTCCCTGGGCAGTCAGCATGTCACTTGAGTTTCAAGCTGAAGTTGGACATTTAAAGCTCCCTGGAGACAGTCTGAATAACTTCTCCAAGTGCTTTTTGGACATGAAGTCCTTTCTCTAAAGACCCAGGAGATATTTAGTCCCAGTAGGAATGTGTAAAAGTGATATCTTATAAGAAGTGTAAGGAATAATATAGATCTCATTGCTCCCCAACATTCAGATCTGAAAAATTCCTCTTCCTTTTGTATGTTTACATTAGGAAAATCTTATATTTGAAGATTTGAAGATTTTTAAAGGTGAATTTTTTTTTGAAAACAAAGTAATAAAAGTTGCATCCTGTGCAGTATTGCTCAAGACTGACTGGAATCACTTCATGTCTTGTGATGTGACATGAAAGTGATATGTGGATGCTTGCTGTTATCCATGAGCAGCTCCATGTCTGGATAGCACCAGCTTCTGATTTGACTGATTTGTGTCGGGCTTAATGCTGCTTGAAAAATAACGGCTCAGCTCCTGCATGCGCATAGCTATGCCCTCTTAGAATTATCAATCAGGTTTTCACTTCCTGGCTAGCAAAAGTTCAAGAAGTCCTTGAATTTATACTGGTGATCTCAGACACTAGACACTAAAAAGAATGAATCCAGACAAAGCTAAGCTAGCTGTTACATAGGGCAGAAAACACTATTTTTGAAAGATTCTGCATATGATATCATTCATTCATTACATTGTCTTTTTCTATTCCAAAGACACATTTTTCTATTTCTGTGTAATTCATCATCTCTTTTGTTAGTCAAATGAAAACAACTATCTATTCAGTTTTCTTCCAGAGGCCACTAACCATCTGTACCCACTGTTGCTTGAAGATATACAGAAAAAGAGACAGAACTCACTTCACAGAAAAAACAAACATTGAAACTCACTTTATGCAGTGTGTTAGTTTCAATGAAGTAACTTGTTTGTAAACATTGACACAAATAGCTGTGGTAATGTCGACATGAGTTAGCACTCCCAAATTCAAACAGTTTGCTTCTATCACTGCCCATGGTCCCTGCTGGAGCCTCTGTCTGTAATCTCTAAAAATCGCTTTGAAGATGTCCAGTAGTCATTTTACCAGTCACTGCCACAAAATTCAACATATTTTACCTTGACTTTATAAATACCACGTGCCATATCTTCTAAACACGAAGAGCCTTAATATGGCATCTATATTGCATATCTCAGGATGACTGGCTGACCTGGTTAAAACAAGCTGACAAGGTATGTGGAGCTATTTAAGGCTCTGAATTATTGGCAGGAAACAGTCGAAGATGAGTTGAGGAGACCTGGTTGCTTAAGTCTCCAGCAACAATAATTTAAAAAAGAGGTCATATTAAGGTCAAAATTATTGGATGAATATTGCTAGGTTCTTTAGGTGATTAGAATATTTGTGCATATTAACATACTTTCCCCTCAAATCAATCCTGATGCAGATCCTATCAACTTGATGTGTTACGTTTTGCATTTCTATTTGTTGGTGAGAGTATGACTTAACTCTCTATGCTAGGATAGGTCGGTACACCGTGAAATAGCTCCTAGCACCAAATGACTTTGCTTGAAGAATCCTCTCAAACTTTGTGGCAGTGTCCATTGTTTGTATCATATACCAGGAAACCCAGGTGGTAGCAGTAGCTGAAGGTCTATTTGATAAGCAGAAGAGTTCTGTTAACCTGCAGAATGCTCCAGAAGGAATGCTATTAATAGCTTTTCTCTGTCGGTCCTTCAGGAGGTGAAAAAAAAATGAGAATCATAGCTAAACAAAAAAAAAATAATTCTTTTCTTTCTTCCCATAGATTACTGTCCTATCTCAATAATTTCTCTTAGTTCCAACATTAAATATTAAGTAGAATTTTCAAGAGGACACTGAGCCAATACTAGAGTAATAAAGGGAAATGTAGGAAAATTAGAATTACATTCAACTGCTGGCAGGGAGCATCAAATTTTGCACTTGGTAAAAGGAATGGAAACTTGACACAATTAAAGAAACCTAATAGAAGACATGGTCTATAGGTCAGTTGTACCCTGGGATGATTTCTAACTCAATATTTTTGTAAATATATCTTTTGGTGGCATCATATACTCCTAGTATATTTAGGCACTGCTTTAGAATAAAATGACTCACACTAAAATCCTGGCTGCTTCTTTATTTGAAAATAGTATTGTTCAAGATTACCTTAGATGACATTTTAATAATTGGCATCACTAATTGTACATAAAATAGCCCAGACATTTTGCTAATACAAAAAAAAACATAAAATATGTCATACCAGCAACAAATTTCAGATAATTAATAATCTTCTCAAATATGTTATTGTTTTGTATATGTTTTATGTTTTATATTATGTAAATAGCATAAAAGGAATATCTAAATATGACATTGATTTAGGTGTTATGAAATAGAAATTTGGTTTTGACTAGACTATGGAAAATATAGATTTTTAATTTTGGCCTCATAGATCCAGCTTCTTCTGGGAGTCTTACTTTCTTTGATGATTGGATATAGTTAAAGAAAAAGCAGTCTGACATAAAATTGTCTGTTGAATCAGCAGAAGAGGCATTTGCAACAGCTTAGAAAAAAGGACAAAAAATATACACAGAAAATCACAGGTCTCTTGACAATCACGTTGCCTTACATATTTGCCATAACATTTCTAAAGGTTAAAAGCAAAAACAAGCAAAGAAAACATGTCCACCTTTGACCATGATGTCAGTACAAAATATTGTACTGTGATTCAGAGCCATGCGCGACAGCTTTTCCCAGCATGTGCTCCCTTCTGCAAAACAGATACCTAGTCAAAAGCATTCTCTGGTCAAATAAATTTGAATGATGTCAAATGAACTCAGTTAAACAGATGTTTTCAGAACTGCCCTTTCTAGAGGCTTTAACCGAGAACAATGAAGAGATTCACCAGCGGACAAACAGAGCATATGGTCATTCCCAAACTGAACGGGTCACAGTAGCTCTGTTCCTTTTTTCAAAGGAAAGAGTTTTGTTTAAACTCTTTCAACTCTTTCATTTTCTACCTAAGGGGCTCTGGGTGTTTCATTGAAATGTTCCTATATCATAGGATTACTTATTAGCAATAAACATTCACAGGGAGGCTTGGAAGGAAATTAACCACAACTCAAAGTGATACTTCAACTATTTGTCTCACAAACTGGCATGTAGAATCATCACACGTGGCTCAAAAGTTTTAATTTTCATTGTTCTCTGTTGCTCTCTCTCTCTCTTTCTGCTTAGAGATACACTATGGTCTTGATTGATTTCTATCATACTTAAGTCAAGAAACATTCTGAATATCATAAAAAAGAAAAACACATGAACTATATAATTTACCATATTCAGCTGTGGATGCAATAGTGTTTAAACACAAAATAGTAGTGCCACATATTTGTTGTATTGTTGGAAGAAAATTAACATTAAACATCATTAGGCTTCTACAAAACATCAAAGATCCCTTATAATGTTTGTATTCTCTAAATATAGAAAAAGAAAAAAATCAGAATTGTGAATCATTACCTAGAATATAGTGCTTATTTTCCACTCATTATATTTCTAAACCCTCCTTTCTTTATACTGAAATAATCAATCTGATGCATTTGAAACTCTCTTTTTTTTTGTCTAAATCATAATTCAAGAAGACATCAGTTTTTAATGCAAGTTAATCTTAGAAAATATTTGTTTTTCAGGAAATGATGAAGAGATCCTCAACTGTTTGTATCTAAATCAGAGAAATATAATTTACAATAGTCTTGAGATTTCAGATTATATATATTCTCATATATATATGAGAAAACAGTCTAGGAAGACAATAAGTTTATGAGCAGCTTTGAAATATTTTCTCACTATTTTTGAAATGTTTCAGATATTAAAACAGTCAAAATTATTCCTACAACATTCTAAACATGGACGCAGCACGGATCAGGACTCTGGGACTGAAAACCCCTCTCAAACTCCAAAATTACGAGCAGCTGCTCCCTTCGGATGCCTGTGAAGTACGGTGCTCTGGTTCAAGAGTTTCCATGTCATGCAATCAAAGGACGGAAACATTAAGGCTGCAGATGGAGAGTGGTGACACACTGTAATTTCATACAGACACAAGATGGTTCGGTGACATAAGAATTACTAGACCATGAGTCCTTGGGTCCATGAAGTGGATTAAAGCTTTATTGCTCTTTGGAGTTCTGACAATGACAAATGTTCTCTCTGATGTTGGGATTATCTTGTCTAAACTTTTGTTTCCTCAGTTTCAGGTTTCATTTCTTGCCTTAACCATCTTCTAAGATCCCAAATAACTTCCTTTTGCCATTGTTATTGGAAGACATTTAGTAACACTAACTAGTTTAGTGCCTTACTTTTGGCATCATATCCACACGTAAATCATTTTTCAATTTCCAATTTTCTGATGAAGATTGAATGATAGGCTTAACCACATGGTCACATGACTCAACTCTAAACTATCATTAAAAATCAAAATAGAAGACAAATATGAAATAAAATAAGAGAATTCTCCAAAAGAATTCAGATAATAGATACTGTATTTTGTACTAATTGTTAGCATTAACTGACTAAAATTTTTGACAGCAAGCTTAAATACATGTATACAAATAAGTGTTTGTCAATGTGTAAGTATGCGCAACAGATGAATTCCTGGTGCCTTCAAACATTTCAGGATGCCATTGGATGCCCTAGAATTGGAGTTAAGGATTATTGTGGAACACTATACTATGTGGTTGCTTGGAACTAAGCAATAAGTGCCCTTAACTATGGAGCTATTTCTACAACAACTAATAGCAAATTTTTTCTTTGGCCTTGATACTTATTGTACTTTTTTATTTCTCCATCATTCTGTCTTTGTCATTATCATATCTAGTGAAAATTTTACTTCTAATGGTTTTAAGAAGCTAGAATCTGCAGCTAGAAAGCGGTAAAGCTATAATCAGGCAAAATTTGATGGTGTTAACATTCAGTATTTTCCTAGTACTAACAAAAGCTGTATGAAGGCTTTGCATATGGAAACACATAAAAATTTTACATGTCTTACTACTTGAATTTTGTTTTTCTAAAAGCA